TAATTTTAATTATTTATCATATTATAAAAAGTATTTCTTTATTTTTTTTATTTTTAAAAAAGTAATATAAATAAAAATATAAATTTTTCCTAAATTCTTACTAATATGCAAAATAAATAAATAAATGTCCATTAACATGGGGTTGTAGGAGTATTTGATATATAATCTACTACAACAAGTACATTTTTTTTAAAGCTATTGAATTAATGAGCGAAATTTTCATCAATTTGTATTACAATTTAATATTGTCAAATATATATATATTTTTTAAAAGAAAATACCCAAGAAACCTTCTAAATTGTAATTGGCTCAAGGCCAGGGCATTGCTTTGCAGTTGAGCTAGGCATCAGTAGTTTAGCTGTCTGAAAATGTCTCTAACCTACCAAGGAATGTAGATTTATTTTTCTTTTCTTATTTATGACAAAAATATTAAGAGAGTCGAGTTAGAATAAAATCAAAAATAATACAAGCCAAATACAACATTTCTCATTAAAAAATTGATCATATATGCAAAAACTTAAATGACAGGTTATTAGATAGCTCTCACTTTCTTAAATTTTTTTTCTTTTTGTGAAACAGAAGGCTTTTTTTTTTCTTTTTTTTTTGGTCTAGAACAAGGTTTAACAATTAAAAGTAAATAAATTAAAATACTTGTTTTATAAATTAAATTCCAGTAAAAAAAACACAACAAAAAAGAGTTATTTTAAAGAAATTGGGCTTTGAAAAGGCCCAATTTTTAGGCTAAAAAGAGGTCCAATGGGCCAAAGCAGCCGCCGTCTTGCTGTTAAACGGTTATGCCGTCATCTTCTTCCTCTATCCAAAATCCGGAAGACGAGAAAGATGTGGGGACTGTGGCGGCGCCCGTCAGATTACCGGCGTAAAACATGCTCGCCTACCCACTCCCACTCTCTTCCGCCGCTTCCTCCGTCGCAATCGCTCCTCTCCCCAGCAGATTTCTCAACCCAATCTCCAACAAGATCATCCCTTCCCTCATACCTTCCCCTCCGAAGTTTATCATCTCCGATTTCCGACCCAGCCCCTTCTGTTCCAATTCCGATTTCACACCACTAGATTCCAAGGATGATGACGATGGTTACTATGTTTTAGACAAAGAGCCAGAATCGACAGAGACGTTAAGTGGAGATGGAGTTTGCATTGAGATTAAGAGGATTGGAAGGAATTTTCGCAAAATTCGGTCCAAAGTCGGAATTGACGCCAGCCTCGACACGGTCTGGAACATTATGACAGATTACGAAAAGTTGGCTGATATCATACCGGGTCTGGTTGTCAGCAAATTGGTCGAGAAGAAAGGCAATAGCGCTCGGCTTTATCAGGTAATAATTCCCACTTTACCAATCTATTGGTGTAAGAAAGAATGTTATGATTCTTTTGAGAAACATGTAATAATGCTCCTCAAGAACTCAAAAAAGTATGGTTCCTAGATGACCTCCATTATTTTTGAACTTTGTGAGTTGTGATAGATGTTTTCTTTGTGACTTGATTGATTGAAGTTTTTGTTCTAAATACTGATTATGCCCTTAAATTTAGATGCTATCCTATTGCTTCTCTTGTAACTTGCTGTTACATTCTCTCTGTGTAGATTGCACAGCAAAACCTGCCATTGGGGCTGAAATTCAATGCTAAAGTAGTTTTGGATTGTTATGAGAAAGATCTTGAGATTTCTCCTTTTGGGAAAAAGCGTGATATTGAATTTAAGATGGTTGAAGGTGACTTCCAATGTTTTGAAGGAAAATGGTCTATTGAACAGGTAGAATACCCTTTTTTTTTTCAAGGTTGATGCGCACCTTTTGATTTAAACCATATAGGCTACCAATTGGAATTATCTCATTGATTTGCTGCTACTTTTAAAATCATCATTTTAGCAAGCTGCCTAAGGTAGTTGAGGGCTAGTGGTACTTACGTATGAGTTGGTTTGGAACTTTGACTGAAGATATAAAATTGAACATTTAGAAACCAGATTACTCGTTTCACCAAAAAAAAAAAAAAAAGGGAGAAACCAAATTACTTGAAAATTATTTGTTTGGAGAATTGAAGCTGGTTTAAATTTTTACATAAGAATTTTGACCTCTTTTAGACATAATACTTACAATGAAGGGATGTGATATCTTCAAAATATTTTATTGAGTTTTTGGTAAAACCAAGCAAATTATCTTTTTTTCTTGGATTGCTATATTATAAAATTATTTCTTGTCTTGGACTCAGCCTTTGCTGGTCATTCTGCCTTGTTTCTTGTCTTTTTGGTTATCAATAATGGTGTGTTTATTGTCAGTGCTGCCCATGACTGAACTATTTAGACAAATTCCCATATATGCCTCCTCAATGTTTTAGTTTCTTATTTTATTTTTCCATTTATCATTATACTTTGCTAGCTTTTTAAACTTCATTTATGCCCACCATTTTTTGGAACCTAGTCGGGCTGGATGAATATATTGTTATATCATCCTCTAATGATTTTACAAGCCTATGAATGTTGCATCTTTGGTAAGCAAATTATATATATATATATATATATATTCAACAAGCATCTAACTATTTATGTATCCAGCATATTTTCAAAAAGAAATATGATGGATTTGCTTTTGCAGTTAAATGGGGGACAATGTAAAGACAGTGAAGCCTCATTTGATCAAAACTTTCAGACAAGTCTTTCCTATGCTGTTGATGTAAAGCCAAAGCTGTGGCTGCCTGTTCATTTAATTGAAGGCAGAATTTGCAGGGAGATAAAGACGAACCTCACATCTATCGGTGAAGAAGCAAAGAAAGTGTTTGGTACCCTGCGTTCTCTTTAATTGTCATACATTGGCCTGATAATTCGCTATCTTTATGCATGTCCCCTCAAGTGCAATGTAATGTATTAACGACCAAATTTCGTATTGAAAGCATAAAATAATATAACCATTTCCATTTTCTCACCTCACGCATCTAATGAAAGTTTTAGATTATTATTGTGAGGCTGGTGTTTTCCAGTTTGGATCGGAGCTGAAATGTCTATAATTCCCTTAATGAATCTTTTTTGGCACAAGAATTCATTATTAACATTTCAACAATATTTCTTGAAAAAGTTTTAGATGATTAAACTTTTACTTTGAGAGATGAAAAATGAAAAGGAGTCAGCAGTGTGAACACACTGGCAAAATGATAGGTTTATGTATATTTCCTTTCTATGATTGATGATGTTTAATATCATTTTGGTGTGGGGGGAGATGAAATTTCTCTGGGGAAACAAACATGGAAAGTGTATACTTTATTTCGGTCTAGGGCTAAACTTTATCAAAAGTGACCTCACGAAGTCCAATACTGTGGGGCTCCGCAATCTGTGGTAATGTGAGCTGCTTAGTTTTTAACTTTAACCCAGGTGAAGGAAAAGGAAGCATAATCCCTCCGCTGCTAAATCCAGTGATAATTGGTCAGAATACAGGGGGAGCTGGAGAACTGATAAAGCTGAGGTTGACAAAGGATCAACTTGGATAGTGGGTCCTTCTCCAGGCCTGAGTCGCCCGACCCTGATAATGCAGGTGATTTGTACAGCAGGAGGTTGTTCTATCTGTTTGGATTACTCTGTCCTGTTTTTACATTGGATTGGATAATTGGACAGAACATTTCATGTGCTTGTGTTAATTTAGCCTTTGTTTCACACTATGTTGAACTGATTCTTTAGTCTTTATCCGTGTGATGATCATGGTTGTAACTTATGATTTGAGTTACGACGACATAATGTTTGAATTTGAAGCCAATTAAAGTGATTGCAACATGGGTTGACTTAGATGATTGGAGTCTTGGATTCATTATTCACGGCAGCTGGCGGGTTGTCTTGGAGTGGAGACAGCAGGGTTGAACATCATAGGAAGTTTGAGGATTAAGTTCCCAACCCTCTTAACGTTTTTTGTAACGAACATTATTTGTTAGACAGCAAATCTTCACATGTCAGCAGTTTTGATTTTATTTTATTTTATTTTACTCAATAAATGCATAAATCAATATGTATGCTTGATTCAATGTAGTGTAATTATTATAAGAATTTATTATCAACCATCATAATCAATTAATCTATAAAACCCAGAATTCTCTTTGTTTTCTCTAACTAGTTTTTGTTTTGCCCGTGCATTGCACGGGTTATTTTTATTTTTATTTTTTATATTAGA